TATAAGATATATATTATATTATATATATATATATATCACACACACACACATAAATATATATATATATATATTGTGTTATGTATAAAGGAAATTTTACCTGGTAGATGTCTCCTGTGCGAGGGTAGCTGGTAAGTGAGAGTGTCCATCGCTGGCCAATGTACTCCATGATGTCAACCCCTTTGCTTTCGACTTGAAAAGCTGCGTAGTCGGCTCTGTCGTCTCCGTAAATCGACGACGTTACACGTTGTTCAACTTCAATGAAGCTTTCCGTGGGTAACATTCTTAAAACCACCCCTGTGAATTCAGGCAAGCGTGTACAAGAAGCGATCTCAGTTAGTATCTGTCGAGAGGAATAACTATCTCGCACAGTACAGTACATATTATACATCCCCACGTTTACAACACAATATATCGCTATTCACACACACTACCACTATCCACACACACTACAGTACATACTACAACCCCACCCCTACAACACAATCCACGACTAACCACACGCACTACACTACATATCACTCTCCTCCCCCATCCCCTCCCCGTGTACACAATACACACACCAACATCTGTCGAGGAGAACGCGAAGAGCATCTCACACGCCCCGTCACTCTGCACTGTCAGGGGATGTGTGTTATTGAGCACTTGGATGACATTTTCTGCGCCTGTAAGGTCGCTGCAGTTGTGACACACAATCGCGCCCACGTCGTGTGAGTATGTGTCGTATTGGCACGGGAGGCATTGGTTCTGCCCTGTCATGTCCTGGGCCGTGTGATTGGGGCAGGGCGAGCATGAGCTGCGCAGGCTGTTGCTGTTGCTGTATGTGCCGGCGGGACAAGGCACACATGAGAAGGTGGCGTCTGCGGTGGTGGGGTGTGGGGGGAGTGATAGGGTTAGGGTTATAGAGTCTGGGAGAATGTATCAAAGGGGAGGGTTTGGAAAGGTAGCACCCGATGGCTAAAAGTTCAAATGCTATCACTATTTTGTATCGTATTGTGTATTATGCGACATTTGTCACATAGGTCGTAGGAGTATATACAGCACACAGAGGCGTAGTGTATATGGAAAGTCCCTACACCGACGATACACGCACTAACACCGCCTACACAGGACTGTATCACGAACATCATACACAAAACTATATACATACACAAACCACCTACACAGGACTATGTACAAATACTCACTTACAACATATACAAAGCCATGTGCATACACACACCACCTATATAGGACTATATACAAATACTCACATACAACATACACAAAACCATGTACATACATACAACACATGCACAGGACTATATACATACACACCACCTACACAGTCGACAGATCTACAAAAGAGATTTACTTACAGTCAACGTATCGGCCTCCGCCGCAGGTGGAGTAGACACTGACCACAGCAGGCTCACTGAACAGCCACATATCAAACACCTGGTACTCGAAGTAGAAGGGACCGCCTAATATGGGCATGGCCAGAAAAACGCAGGTGAAGTGAATGAGAATATTGCGGAAGGTTTTACTTGGGGTTGTGAGTGAGACGTCGAACGTGCCTGATATGGGCATATCCAGAGAAGTGGCGGGCATTTGAGTTGGTGGCTGAGGCTGAGGCTACTTGCACTGGGCACTCAGAAGCGAAAAGAGCACAAAATGAGTTAAACCAATTGAGGTAAACCATCTGCGTTCAATAAACTGAGTTAAAAAACTGAACTAAACCAACTGAGTTGAACCAATTGAGTTAAACCAGCCGAGTTGAACCAACTGAGTGAGACCAACTGAGTTGAACCAATTGAGTTGAACCAATTCGTCACCACACACCGACACAGAAACACTACTACAAGTATTCACCACACACCAGCACACCAACACTGCAAGCACCAACCGCCCACATCAGGGTCCGTGTCAATGGTGTCAGCACAAGCACTGCAACACCAACCACACACCAACACACAAACACAACAAACACCAACCACACACCAACACACAAACACAACGAACACCGACCACACAACAACACACAAACACAAACCACACACCAATACACAAACACAACAAACACCAACCACACCCCAATACACAAACACAACAAACACCAATCACACACCAACACACCAACACAACAAACACCAATCACACACCAACACATCAACACAATAAACACCAACCACACACAAACACAAAAAGCACAAACCACACACCAACACACAAACACTAAAAGCACTTACCGCCCACATCAGGGTCCGTGTCATTGGTGTCAGCACAAACACTGCAAAACCAACCACACACCAACACACCAACACTAAAATCACCCACTGCCCACATCAGGGTCCATGTCAATGGTGTAAGTACAAGCACTGCAAGCACCAGCCATACACCAACACACAAACACAACAAACACCAACCACACACCAGCACACAAACACTAACCACACACCAACAAACAAACACTAAAAGCACCCACCGCCCACATCAGGGTCCATGTCAATGGTGACAGTGCGCACGCCTTGCGGCAAGTCCTCATTGGCCACAACGTGCTGACGACGACCCAGCTCATCGATGTACGTCATGTTACCAACGGACATTGGTTTGGTAATACGATATACAAGCGTCCCGGCTTCTCTGTCTGTGCCGTTGAGTGTGACCACCTGTGTGATACGGCGGGTGAGACGCGTTGGACGTATTATGTAAAAATAAATAATTTAAATATAAATATAAGATCAAGATCAAGATAAACATACATACATACATACATACATACATACATACATACATACGTACGTACATACATACATACATACATACATACATACATACATACATACATACATAACATACATATCTACATACATACATACATACATACATACATACATACATACATACATACATACATACATACATACATACATACATACATACATACATACA